CTAGAAAAAGGGCCACATAATCTATCAACCTGGGCCCCGAGACAGCTACCTTCTCCCCGAATCCTAAAGGTATCTTTATCTGACAGTTTCCTGCTGCCACGCAGGGGCCAGGGTTCTGGCTTGTCTTGAGTGCAGGTCTCAGCCAGGTACATGAGTGTGAATCTAGCTGAGTGTGCTGCTTGCACTTTGGGAAGTAAGGTTTATCCTAGGCAGCTTCTTCTCTTGTGATTCCCCATCATGTTTGCCTTCAGTATTGACATCCCCAGTTTTACTACAAAAAAGAAACGTGTTTTCCTCCCAGATTATTTAATCTTCAGAGCTGGCTAGGGAAAATACAGTGATGAGTGCTCTCAGTGATATCAGCTGGATGGCACATTTAACCAGAGAATAGCATCTAAACTATACCATAGGAGCCTGTGAAGACTGGCAAAGTGGCAAAAAGGGCTTATATTTTTGCTGTAATAACTCTGGTGGTATAGTGCCTAAGGCATTGACTGCTAGCCAGAAAGCTGGCAGTTCAAACCCACCAGCCACTCCTTGGAAGGAAGGTTAGGCAATCCTACTTCCATAGAGATGGCGCCTTGGAAACCCAAGGAGGGGTCGCTATGAGTCAAATTGACTTGATGGCAGAGTTTGTTTTTTGGTAGGCGGAACCACAGCTAAGATGAGCTGACCGCACCTGCTCACTGGTGGACCTGAGTCGGTACCCTTGGCATCTTGCCTTAACCTGTCCCTTTGTGGAGCCGATGCCAAGAACAGCATTAAATGGCATTTGGTGGTGTGTGTGGAGTACAGAGGAAGGGAGAGCATAGAAAGCATAGAGAGCATAGAAGGGAGAGCGTAGAAGGGAGAGCATTAGAAACAGGTACAGCCTTCGGGTAGACCAGAGATAAGGAATTAAAAATATTTTTTAATTTTCTGTCTACCTCAGGTAGAAAACAGGCTGGAAATAGGTTTTTCTTCAGAGTTACCCCTTATCTAGCTGTTACTTTATGTTTAAGAGTAAAGTGTCTTGATGGAAATCTCTCTACTTGAAAGAACAGGGGAACTGCTAATTGGTTATATAGCTTCTAGGTCCCCTGTTTGATTTTAGGTCCACTCTTTTCAAATACCTGAAGCAATACAAAAAATTTTATTTGACATTGACAATAAATTCAAACATTTTCTGGCAGCATGAAGGGAGCAGGTTTGCCTTTTTTAACTGAAAAAGTGAGCAAATCCCCTAAGTACCTAGACATTAGTTTTCTTTGCTGTAAGACAAGGTGTTGGGTTAAAAGATTCCTGAGTGCCTGGAAACTCTCCACTCCTATGAACCTATGCTTTTTCTGAAAAATGTTTACATGCAGATTTTTCCTTTTCCATACTCTCCAGATTTTCTTCAATGTGCGTATTTTGATTTTTAATATAAAATAAACCTTTAAAAGGAAAAGCAGAGGCCAAATATAAACATGTTTGTCCTTGCTCAGATCCTGGACTTTGTGCAGAAAATGTTACATAACTTACTTTTGTGTTACACTCTTAGTAATGAAATAAAATGCATGCCACTGTTATGAGTCTAACTCAGTGTTTTATATTTTCAGTTGCAGTGCTTACCTCAGCTAACCAGCAGCAACATCCTTCCAACTCTGGATAATAAAAAGTACTACTGTAATACCAAGAAACTTAACTACCATTTTCCAAATATTTAAGGAGCTAGAAGACTGATGATAGAGGGAAGCAATGATTTTAATTGATAAAAAAAAAAAAAAACCCAAAACCTTAGAGATTTCAAAATGGAGGTTTTGATTGACAACCACCACAATGACAACAGGAGAAATCACAAGCAACTAACTGGGGGGTAGGGTGAGGTCGGGTGGCTTTTGGCAAGATATGAAGAGAAATTCCAGATCCAATCTTCCATAATAGTGTCCTGAACAGAAAGGAAGTCTTCTTTGGAGTTTCCTTTGTATTTTTGTTGTACCCAAGCAGCCAAGCTTATGGATAGAACGTAAATTGTACCTATTGCCCACACACCCCTCTGGCAAAATTAAATGATGTCAAAAAGATTTATGCTTTGGTTTGTACCATATGGGACAAGTTAAAAATATTACAAAACACCCATATATATTTCCTTGTATTTCTGCTGCACTGAGGCCTGTCTTCTGCATTCCAGTTGTCTCAGCATCACATTTGAGGGTAGTTTTAGTTCTTGAAATCAAAATGTGTAATGTTCTATTTCCTGCTTACTTTCGTAATTTATATATTCTAAAACTTTTCTGGGAATATTTAAGAGATGTTAAAAATATTTTAAATGATTATAAAGATTATTATATATGCTTATGTATTTAATACTGTTTATAGACATTTCTTACATATATTTTTGTCTTCACCTTCAGTAAAGCATGCAAACAAGATGGATTTACAAAAATCTATCTGCACATGTTGACTCAATTCTCCTTGGCAACCAATGGCATGAAGCTTGGCAGCTGACTAATGTAGTTAGGGGAAGAACAAGAACTACAGTCTTCACAGGACCTGAACCATCACCCTGAAAATGTTTAGTACACATTGTCTCCAGCTCAGCCTTAGACCTGGAGACTGACCTACAGGCAGGACTGTAAATAGTGATCTGGGTTTTGGGAGACACTGCTTGTGATATTTTATTTGGATCATGAAAGACATTAGGTTATAAACTTATGTTTTCCCTGAAACATATTTACATGACACGTATATATGTATGTGCATACATGCACATATGTATACTAACCTATCAACTAATATATAATAACTAATAAGTAGTTCAGAATGATAGAACTTAAAATCCCTACCTTTGTACAGTGAGACGTAAAATGGTGACATGGAGTTTGTTCTGACTTGGCCTATTGCTCCTATTCTAGAAGCTTTTTCATTCTTGTCCCTTGTAGACAACAGCAGTGTGAACCCTGTGTCTGTTTCTTACAGCTCAACACCAGTTTTGGTTGATGTGCTGCCACTGTTTTCAAGCAGTTCTCAACTATGGTTTCAAAGTTGTATTTTACTGTATTTTCAAAACATTTCTTCTGCACTCCCAGTTTGTTGCTATGTGAATTTTCTTCATGAGAGCATTTTTACCCCATTCACCTACTGCTATTCCACTAAATTCTGGCATCTGCTCTATAATTTTAGCTACGCCAGTTGGTTTAGTGACTAAGGCTTCCTGATGGATATAGCTTCTTGCATAGAGCTGACAGGAGGCTATATTGCAGTTCCAGTATCATCCAATTCTTGTTATGTAACCTTGATTCCAATGACAAGGAAGACATCCAACGTCTTTTGTATGTGTGTGTATCTAAGAAAATACACTTGATAGAGGCAGATGACTATAATTGCCTAGTTCACCCAATAGTTTTATAGAAAACTATTCAGAATAGAAAAGTAGCTCCAGACTAAACTGTGATGAACCAGTTCCTGGTCATTCAGGACTGAAAGCGAAACTTGAGACAAAGGGCTCATCTTTTTCCCTAATAAGTTTTATTAAATTGATGCCTGTATTTAATTTAACCGTATCGGTAATCCTTTCCCTCAGCATGGAATCACCATTGTGCACATGAGACTGTTCTGCATTGTTGTTTTTTCAATTTACCATTTTGTTTTTCTACTGAATCACAGTGGCAATTGTGTTATGCATTATTTACCATCTATGTGCTATTTACATAAATTGGTTTTTAAATGCACCTAAAATATTTTCTACCTAAAAGGTGTATCATAGAAAGTGTTTATTTTAACATCATTTCCAGTCAAAGTTATATTCAACACCTTAATGTTCAAAACAAACATAAAGATATCCACAAACAAGATAGCATATAACAAACAATAATAAAAACAGGGCCACTTCAACAGGTCAAAATACAGACCTATTTTACCCATTTGTAACAGTCTGTACTTTTGTATTTTAGATAAAAAGTATGTGTTTACATTCTTACTGATGTCTCTTGAGCTGACAGAGGTAGTATCCAAGAGTACATGAAGGAAGAAAAATTAGTTCCTACTTGATATGTTAATATTTTCCATGTTTAAAATAATCTTTCAATTTAAGAAAAAGTAAGTGTAGCTGTGTTGGTCTTTATCTTTATGATTATTGCCTCTGTTCCCTTGTTCAATCAGCAAAACTATTTGAATTCAGTGAAGTATCTATGTCCAATTTTAATAAAACCCAGCCTAAGTTTACAAAACAGATAGATTAACCAGAAATTATTCATTCTCAGAAAGGGTGTATGCTGTAAAGAAAACAGGAAACCTGGATCATGAGACATGCAGGCAAATCCCAGGAAGAAATATGTGATGCATGCCTTAATAACTTTGCATAATTGAACCCATCAATGAATATGTAATTTACCTCCAGTTTTGCAATTGTGTATGTATAGTAACATGCTTTAATAACTTTAAAATTATAGTGAAATGTAAATACTATTATGTATACTACAATAAAAATTATCTGTACTGAACATTTAAATCACTTTGAAGACTTCTATATCAGTATGTGGGAGCTCTGGTGGCATAGTGCCTAAGGAATTTGATGGCTAACCAAAAGGCTGGCAGTTCAAACTCACCAGCCACTCCTCAGAAGAAAGACTAGGTAATCTACTTCCACAGTGATACCGTCTCAGAAACCCAAGGAGGGGTCGCTATGAGTTGGATCCAACTTAACAGCAGTTGAATTTGGTTTTGGTATATCACTATGTCAAGAAATATGTTTAAAATTATTATTATTAAATGAGGAATATATTAGAATTGAAATACAATCTGTTTTGCATTTTTCTTTAAATGATTTAATGCATATAAATCCTCACTTTGAACTATAGTGAGTCTCATCTATTTTCTACATATGATGGACTCAGCATCTCAGCTTGCCCTTTCCCTTCTAAAATGTCATGATCTGATAACTTTATATTTTGATTAACAATTATATTTGCTGCTGTTTAGACTCAACAATTTCAAATGATTCTTCACATTGAAATGAGACACTTGATTTTTTTTTTTTTTTACTTCAATTCTAATTCTAGCTTCAGAGAAGGCAGTGCTATCTGAAAGGTTTGGACAATCTTTTCTTTTTCTTTTATTCCAGGAAGATCACATAACAACAAATACTTGAGGTTTCTGTAAATAGAGAAAGAAGAAAAAAGTAATTTTATTTGGCTTTACTCTTATAGCATTAAAAATAAAGTTGATTTATTGACTTTTAGGAAAAATTACATACAGAATATGTTTGTGTCACCCTGGACCTTCAAACTGACTATTAGGCCAGTGCTCTTATAGTATTACTTTAAATGAAATTCATGCTAAGATCTAAGCCAGGCTTTGGAAAATTTAGTTGTTCTGAATTATACCAATATTTCTGGCTGGTAGCTCAATTGGCACAACATAGTTTATACAAAGACAGTGTTCTACACTCTGCTGTGGGGAGTAGTGACTGGGGTCTTAAAAGCTAGTGAGCAGCCATTTAAGGTACAACTACTGGTCTCTTCTTGCAGCAAAGAAGAGTGAAGAAAATCAAAACCGTGTGGAAACAAAGGACTAATGGACCCCATGAACTTCAGTCTCCCTGACTCTGAGATGAGAAGAACTAGATGGGACTCGGCTACCACTACTGACTGCTCTGAAAGGGATCACAATAGAAGATCCTGTATAGACTTGGGAGAAAAACGTGGAACAAAACTCAAAATCATAAAGAAGACCAGACTTACTGGTCTGCTAGAGACTGGTAGAACCCCCAAGACCATGGGCATTTGTCACCCTTCAAGGCTGGAAATGAACTCAGCCCAGTGACTCAATTCTCAGCCAAGCAGTAGGCCTATAAGGTGAACAATAACGAGAGTGATATGTACTTCTTACAACAATCAGTCATACAAGATCAAAAGAGCAGCTTTCGTCCAGGGATAAAGCTCAGAAGGCAGGAAGGGATAGGAAAGAAGGACCAATGGAAATGAGAAACAAAGCAAGGAAGTGGGAGAAGTGCTGTCACATTTTGAAGACTGCAATCAATGTTGCGAAGCAAAATGTATATGAATTGTTGGATGGAAAACCAATTTGCTTTGTAAACTCAAATCACAATAAAAAGTTGAAGTATTTCTAGCTGAATCCTTCCAAATACTGTATGTATATTACAGTAGAACTCCTTTGCAGGTGAAGTATGAATTTTGAATCTTAACCCAAAAAGAGAAAAAATTAGGAAGTTCTTAACTTGTTTCTATTAGAACATGAAGCCATGCAGCTTCAACCAATGTAAGAAATGAACAATCTAATACTTTTGGTCCTAATGTTTAAAACTTCTCAAATTTTCTGATACTGTATTATTGGTAGATCTATTATAGATTAAAGCAAAAATACATTAACTAGATTCAGAATTTGAACAATGGGATCTCTAAAACAGGAGTATGGTTAAACAAACCTTCATTCTATCTTCCTCATTCTGGTAAGACTCAGAATTTAGAAATTTTAGAATAAAAAATTCCTTGCTAATATTACTTGGTTTTATATTTGGGATTGAGTGACTTGCTCTAGGCTATCAGATGGGTATGGCTGGTGGTAGAAGTAGACCTAGAACAGCTTTCCTGACCAACAGATGCATGCTTTTGAAATGTTATTATATCATCAGGCAATGTTCTAGGCCACCAGGACAGAAAAGTGAATATTTCAAAGTTTTCACCCTCAAACAACTGAACAGTTAACTACTCACCAAATGTCATATAAATACAAAGAACATGGGAAAGTTTTCTTTTAAAAGTAGAGAGGAGCCATAATAGCTTATTGAGAGCTTACTATGGCAGCACTGTACTAGAAACTTTATGTGGACTTAATTTTTTTTTTTTTTAAAAAAACATGCCCCCTAAAAAAATGCAATAGTACCTTATTGTATTAATGCTGATAATTTTAGCTGGCTTAAAGCATTATAGATGAAAGTTAAATCATTTCCTTAAATTATATTTCTCAAAACTAGTAATGCCATCCTCAACTGTTTTAAATTCTGATTATTTATTCACTTTAACATCATTACCAGGTTTCCATTTGGGCTTTGACACCTACCTTAAATGATGCAAAGCAATGATGCCTTTCTCTGTGACATTCCCACAGGAAATAATTTCCATTTCCAAGATGCTTTTTTGTAAATTTTCAAATTGACTGAGCATCTGTAAACAGTTGTCCTCGATATAGTGACACTTGCATAGTTTTATTTTTTCAACATGCTGTAGGCCCTCTGGAGAAAATATGTACAGTTTAAGAATTTGCTTTACCTTTAGGGTCATTGATTATCTTGGTTTGCCCAGGACAGTCCTGGTTTTAGCAGTGGAAGCCCCATATCCTAGGAAAACTGATCACTGGTTACCCTACTAATCTTACAAGGTATTTACTATACAGGTTGTGCTGATAGACAGACATTCTGGAGTCAGATGTCTATGCACTGGAAGAAAGAAATGCCCACACAAGGGAAAGCTGTGCAGACATAATTGAGAGATTCCCAGTGGCAGAAGGTTGAAAAAAATATCATAGGCCTTGAATTTTAAGTTGATAAACTATAAAATAAAGCTCTGTAGAGAAGCTTATGAGGAAAAGAAGGTGTTTATAACTTCTATATAATTTGAAAATAAACATGAAACAGAAAACTATAGTGAAATGGGCAAAAATGGGCCTATGACTATAATAGTGAGTCAAATGCAGGAAAATGGTCACTGCAAATCCCATAAAGAAAAAGATAGGCAGTTACTCATGTGATCAAATCCAATGTTCATGATACAGGAGCTGGTGGCATCGATTGCCTGAATCTTGTATTTGTCCAGAGGGCCTGTTGGGAGGTTATTGTAGTCCTTCTGCCACCTCTCCTGGCCGTGATATCGCACCATGGCCCCACAGCGCAGCAGCCACTCAGATGCTGCCCTGTCTGGGCCAACATCTCTGATGCGTTCATAATCTACTCTGTCGGCAAAAGAACAAAAGTAGATTTATTTTTACTATAATCATTAGCTTCTTAACTAAATTCTAACATAAATGCAGAACAGCAACAACATTTCATTTCAAATGGCTGAGAAGGACGGTAAGTACATCAGTGATATCCATGCCCCCCACAAAGTACTATAGCGCTACCTGTTTTGCTTTTGTTTCCAAGTGAAAATCAAGCCATTTTTATATGAAATTATCATACACACACAAGCCTTCATTGATTCCTATGTAGCACAGTGCTTTACAATAGGAGGTGCTCAGTAACTATGTACTAAATAAATGACTACACTTATTATCTTTTAAAATTACTGCTAAAGATTAAAAAGGGAACACGTTTGAACCTACGTTCAAATTAATCTGAGTGATATTTATTAATTTCTACACATGCCATTTTCTCTAGTTGATGGCCATAATATTATATTAAACAATGATGAGAGATTAGTTTCATGAGTCTCAAGCTGATCTTTCTAAGCATGCTACTCACTGTCTAAAAATTTGAGTTGTCTTGATGGTATTCAAAAGACTAACTGTATTCCTTAACAACCCAAAGAAAATTATACAGCAATGTTCATTCATAGCCAAAAGGTAGAAACAATCTAAATGTCCACCAACAGATGAATGGGTAGACAAAATGTGGTATATGGAATATTCTGCCATAAAGAGAAATGAAGTCCTGATAAATGCTACAACATGGATAAATCTTGCAAACATAATACTTACGTCACAAAAGAGCAAGTACTGTATGATCCTACTTACATGAAATATCTAGAATAGGCAAGTATATAGAGAGCAGAATTTATTAGCAATTATACCAGGGGTGGTAGGGTCATCACTTGGGACTCCTGAGTTTCTCTTGATGGTGGTGGAATAATTTGGAAAAGGATAGTGGTGATGGTTGCATAACATGATGAATGTAATCCACGTTACTGAATTGCATATATAAAAATGTTGCATTAGCAAACATTTTGTTATATATAATTTTACCGTAGTAAAACAAATAAAATAAATATACTGGGGAAAAAAAGCCATAGAATAAAATATTTTAAAATTACATTTAGTAACCTTTTCTGGTTATAATGTAGTCAATTTCCATTTTAGAAAACTTAAATGTCATTGAAAAGGAAAAATAAGAAAAATCACTGAAATCGTGTAACCTAAACAGCTATAGTTAATATTTTAGAATCTGTTTTTCTGTTTTTATTTCCCATGTTTGTATGTATGTGTTATTTGTTTTTAAATAAAATTAGGATCATACTGCAAATCTGTTCAAAACCATTTAAAATACAATAAAAAAATCAAATTAGCTATGAGGAACTCCTCTAGCTGTAATAATCCCCACATTTCTTCACTTTAACTAGAGTAACTTACTTGTTGAATACTGTATTCAACCAGCCCCAGAAGGATCTGGAGTCACATGACCAAGGGAGTTTCTTTAAGCCATAGAACTTCCCGGAGATATTTCCAAACAGCATCATTTGATCTAAGCACAAAATAGTACTCATATTAGATCATCAACTGGCAGTAAGAGTCCCATACATATTGTAACTTACTTCACAATTTCAGAGTTAATGCTTTCATGCTGAAAAGGCTGATGAATCCCTTGCCACCCAATAATTACTGAGCAAGTTATTGTCATCACTGGTTCTTGGTTTCTTTTGCTGCAAAAAGGAGAGGTTGGGCTGGATGTTCTCTAATGTTTGGGTTAAGTGCTGAGCTACTAGGTGAATGGTTGGCAGTGTGACTCTACCCAGAGATGCCTTGAAAGGCCTGGCAATCTGCTTCTGAGAGGTCAGAGCCTTAAAAATCCTATGGAGCAGTTCTACTATGCACACATGAGGGTTGTCCAAACGTCTGAGAATCGATTCTACAACTAACAACAAAGTTCCTTCTAGACTTAACATTAAATTCCATTGTCTAATCCTCAATTAGAGTCTTCTGCAGTGTTGCCACCTAGTGTCCATTCAAGCACTGCAACTTGAAATTTGCTAAAACCAGCTCCACTAGCCATCTTAACTTCCAGCATCAAAGTGACAAACTAAAATCACCTGAGAAGCAATGTGTTGAGGTCTGTTCCATTTCCAAGTTTTCCTTCTCCCTGACCCTTCACAAAGCTGGACACCAGGTCACAGAGAGATTACAGACATGCAGTCACTCCCTCAGTAACTGAATTCTTTCCCATCTCTAATAGCCTCGGAAGGAAGGTTGGGCAATCCTACTTCCGTAGTGATACTGCCTTGGAAACCCAAGGAGGGGTCGCTATGAGTCAGGTTTGACTCGACGGCACATAACAACAACAACAACAATAGCCTAAGCGGACCTTTAAATGTCATTTCAATTTAGCCAGCACTTTATGAACACCCAAGAAGCTCTGGTGGTGTACTGCCTAAAGCATTTGACTGCTAACAGAAGGCTGGGGGTTCAAACCCACCAGCCACTCCGCAGAAGGAAGACTAGGGCAATCTACTTCCGTAAAGTTTACTGTCTCAGAACCCAAAGGGGGTCGCTATGAGTTGGAATCGACTGGATGGCAATGAGTTTGGTTTATGAAAACCCAGTGATATAGATGGGCGCTCTGGTACCAATAAGCCATAGCTTGAGTCTTAAGATGCTTACACTCAGGAAGGGAGATGAGACATGAAAACAGAGGCTGCAAGTAGTGGCCCAGAGCAGTTTAAAGAAAGAACTTTGCAGAGGAAGTTGGGAAACACTGGACAAGTGACTTTATCTTTCTAACTCTTGGTTTTGTCATTTGCTATATGAGGTAATTTGCTTAGATGGTTTCCAGCTCTACAAATTTTAAGTTGAGAAAGTGATTGATTTCTCAATTTGTGTATCTCCAGCAGTGTGCCAGGTGTGGGGGAAAACAAAGACAAATTATTCTTGCTCTCTGCCTTCAAGGAGCCAACAATCTAATACAGGATGGAGTGGACTAATACAACTTAAGAAAAAATTAAAATAACAAAATCTGATAAAATGCCTCAAAAGAGTTCCAAATAAGGACAGAGAGGGTTTTAACAGATAAAGATGTCAAGAAAGGTTATCTCAGGTTGTGAGCTGAGGCAGGAACCTTTAAGGCATATTGTAGTTGAGTTTGGCTAGTGCATGGGAGTCATGAGAAGAGAAGCTGATAACTACAGTCAGGTCATGAAGGATCTCATATGCTGAGCCAGGGAACTTGCCTGTATTCTGCAGGCTGTTGGGAGTCAATGAGGTTTTAGAAGAGTACTGGCATCATTAGAACTGCGCTTTAAGAATATCACCTATACAGTAACATTATAACCGAGGGCCAAATGAATGGGACAGACAGAAAGCCAACAGGGGTTTGGACTACATGTGGCCATACACAAGGGGCCAACGGGGAGTGAGAGAGATGTTATATGACTCTAAGTGAAGTGTAGGGGTAAGGGTCAGAGGAAATGAAGATGACATTTAAGTTTTTGGTCCCAGATCACTGGTAGGATGGTCGTGCCATGAACAGAAATTAAGGGCAAGAAGGTAAGGTTATGAATTCAATTTTTCATATTTGGAATATGAAACGTTGACAGACTATCTAAATAGAGATGAAAAATCACTGGAATCATTGACAAATCAAGTAAGTCACAAAATGTTAGAGCTGGGAGGGACTAGATCACCTAGACCAAATCTCTCATTTAGAAATGAGGAAACTGACACCTTGATATTAAGTAACTTGCTACTGCCTTAAATCCTTTCTGGAACAAACCAAAAACACCAAACTCATTACCGTCCAGTCAGATCCGACTCATAGTGACCCCGCCTTGGGTTTCTGAGGCAGTATCACTACTAAGGAGCTCTGGTAGCATAGTGGCTAAGACACTTGCCTGCTAACCAGACGGCTGGCGGTTCAAACCCACCAGCCACTCCTCGGAAGGAAGGTTGGGCAATCCTACTTCCGTAGTGATACTGCCTCGGAAACCCAAGGAGGGGTCGCTATGAGTCGGGGCCGACTCGACGGCACATAACAACAACAACATCACTACAGAAGTAGATTGCTCAGCCTTCCTTCCAAGGAGTGGCTGTTGGGTTTGAACTGCCAGCCTTCTGGTTAGCAGTCAGATGTCTTAGGCACTACGCCACCAGCGCTCCCTTCTGGAACAAGGTAGGGCATTAATAAATGTATTTGTTCAAAGGGATATGCCTAATGTTTCAGTTAATTGGTGGCAGTACTGAAATCCGAATCCAGTTCTCTTACTAGTCGCTCTTTAATCACTGGATGGTTCTAGGACTCGAGAGAGATGAGGACTGGAAAGAGACCCGAGTGAGATCCACCTCAATGCTGAGAAAGCGACTGAGGATGCTGAGGTTGTGGAATAGAATGAGTTGAGGCCTGCATACAGATCTCCAGGATCTCTTACTACCTTCTTCATCCCTTTTCTACCATTACTCCCCCTTCTTTATTACAAACCTCTTCCCCTATACCTCCTCTGATGTCTACTTTTCCCAAATCCTCCCCTCCCTCCCAATAAGTATTACTGAATGTCTGCTACACTTAGTGCAGGAGATATAACGGTAACACACATACAAAAAATAAATAACAACAAAGGAGAGAGACAAAGACATGATTCCTGCCCTCATCAAATGATAACGAAGAAGACAGACAACATGCAAACAAGTAACTGTCCAACATGATGTCTACATAGAGGTACGGACAACTATTCTGAGAGCTTAGAGACAGGATAGAGGGAGGGAGGGAGGGAGGGAATGCTTTACCCTGGAGGTGTTTTTTGAAATGAGTCTTAAAGGATGATTAAATTTCCATTTAGGAAGTAAAATATATAGAGAGAAAAAGTAAGAGCAAACTTTCACCTCAATCTTTTTTTTTTTTTGAAAAAAGAAACATTCAATAAATATTTTTCATCAAAAAGACTGGGTACCCCTCTCCAGAGAAGAAAGATACACCCATTTAAAAAATCCTTTCTCCTTCTTTAGTAACACAGAAGTTAGATTTCCCCAACGCCACGTATATCCAGCATACCTGTAGGAGAACAATAAACATTCAACACAAACTGATTTAAAAAAAAAAAGAGCAAAGATCACCTTTTAATCATTTCCATTTTTCTCAGCACAGGTTTAATAGTCTTCAACTGACTACAGTTGAAGTCTTTAATTGTTGCTGTATTTCCATGAAGAAAGATAAAACCAGAGAAACTGTTACTAAACATGTAAATCAGAGTGGTCTGTTAAAAGTAAAAGGAGTTCTGGCCGTGCAATAGTTAAGGCATATGGTTGCTAATCAAAAAGTTGGTGGTTTGAACCCACCAACTGCTCCATCATAGGAAAGATTAGGCAGTCTGCTTCCATAAAGACTTACAGCCTTGGAGAGCCTATGGGACAGTTCTATTCTGCCCTGTAGGGTCACTATCAGTCAGAATCAACTCGAAGCACTAAAGTGCTTTTAATTTCTACATGCTCAACTGCCACTTTGCTAATTGATTTTTTGGGAATTATTCCCACTTGACTTCAAGCAGTCACCTCTGGGCTTGCTTTCATTAGGTTAACAGGAGACCTCTAGTGGTAAATTAGTGGATTTACCTGGAAAAAATTAAAAGAAACCAGTTAAAAGTAGGTTGAAAACTGATGCTACTAATTTACTGATGCCATAAATAATCCAGTAATTAACATTATTGAAAAAAAATGAAAAACAAAAATTTCTTACTGTCAGAACATGGCTTAGATACACACATTTGTAACAAACTAGCATCTCAAATGCTAGTGACAATGAGAAGAAACTGGATCATTCATACATTGCTGGTGGGAATGTAAAACGATACAGTCATTCTAGAAAAGAGTATGGCAGTTTCCTACATACCTAAACATGTACTTACCACATGACCAGCAGCAACTGCACTCTTGGGCATTTATCCCAGAAATATGAAAACTTATCTGCACACAAAAACCTAAATGTTCACAGTAACTTTATTCATAATAGCCAAAAACTGGAAACAACCCAAACAATCATCAATGGGTGAATGGCTAAAGAAGCTCTGAATAATACTCAGCAATACAAAGGAACACACTATTGATATATACAACCAACCTAGATGAATATCCAGAGAAATATTCCGACTGGGAAAAAAATCAATCCCAAAATATTATCTACGAACTCATTTCTGTAACATTCTTGAAACTGCAAAATGACAGAAATGGAGAACAGATAGTGGTTGCCAGGGCTGGGGGTGGGGAACAGAGAGAGGGAGATGTATGTAGTTATAAAAGGGCAAGTGGGGATCCTGGTAGTGATGGGACCATGCAGAATCTTACTGTGGTGGTGGATGCACAAACCCACATGCAATAAAAATTGTGTAGAAGTAAATATACACACAAGTGAGCCCAAGTAACATTGGAAAAACCTAAATAAGATCAATGGATTAGACGGGATCCTGGCTGTAATTTTGTCCTACTGTCTGCTGCTATCATTGGTAAGATTGGGTAAAAAGGTACATGGGATATCTATTATTTTGTAC